TTTCTGGGCTGTCCTGCCAGGGCAAACTCTGATTCTTTCAGGTAGGCAGTCCGACTGAGTGTGGTCTGTGAGCAGAATGATACAGCTTGCTTGCTGGCAAGGACCTTAAAGCGCCATAGAGTTTTGGCAATAAAAATGGCTCCAGCGGTACCCTTGCCATGAGGCTGGAAATCTAAGGAATGGGTTGAATCTAGCCGTCAAGGCCACAGCTCTCCATATTGCTTAGTAAGTTAAAGGCTCATGTGGTCAGAAAAAAGAGAGATATACAGTAAAGAGAGATTCAAAGAGGAAGAAAACCTCTAAATGGTTTACAGTGTGTTAAAAATATATGCAGGCTAAAGGTTAAAACCATTAAAAATAAAAAAGAAAGAAAGAGAGAAGTAGGGTGTGGTGGTACACACCTTTAATCCCAATGTCTGGGAGGCAGAGGTATATTGACCTATGTGACTTCAAGGTGTGATAGCATGCACCTTTAATTCCAATGCCTGGGAAGCAGAGATAGACAGATCTTTGTGAGTTCAAGGTGTTGTAGCAAGTACCTTTAATCCCAGCACTTGAGAGGCAGAGATAAGTGGATCTCTGTGGGTTCAAGGACAGTCTGTTCTACAGAGTTATTCTAGGACAAAGATTTACAGAGAACTTGTCTCAAAAAGTAAAAATAAATGAAATAGAGGTTAAAATAAAGCCACATAAATATGGAAAATACACAGAGAATCTTGATACTGTATGCTATTATGCTCTCTTTGAATTGTTTGAATGCTGAGGAAGGAGCAACAGCTTCTAAAAGATTGCTTATAGATGCTGCTGAACTAACCCAAGATAGGTATTTTGAAAATCCCTTGACTTCAAAATTGAAGTCAAAAGGTATGCTACTTTGGAGAAGAGATTTTGCTTTTGTTTCCACAGAAAATGAGAGGCTGTGGATTCATTCTGAGTTAAGAAAAATCAGGTTCAATAAAAGAAGACCACCCAAGAAATCTTCGGTAGGAACAGATGGCCCAGATATCTGAGTTCTACATCCAGAATGGATTCAAGGCACTGCCTGAGATGATCAGGACTCACAGAATACTACAGTCAGGACTTGATTATAACCCTAAATTTTCTTTAGGTCTGCATAAGATTATCAATGCCCCCAACCAGCCAGAAGTATCCTGGAGTCCTATGCCCACATTCCCAAAAAATGAACTATGGGTATTTCCTTTGTTGAAAAAAAAAGAGGGGGAAATGTTGTGGGATAATTATCTGTATTCTGTCAATCATATTTTAAACAAATGCTGATTGGCCAGGCAGGAAGTACAGGTTGGAAAACCAGACAGGAAGTAGAGGTGGAGCAAAGAGAATGGGAAGCAGGAAGCTTCCTCTGCCATTCCTGCCCAGACCACCAAAGAAACAACATGTGAGCTGACAGCTGAAAAAGGTACCAAGCCATATGGCTAACATAGATCAGAATAATGGGTAAATATAAGCTGTAAGAGTTAACAAGGAGCCTAAGCTAATGGGTCAATCTTATGGAGTCCTGTGTGTGATTTTCTTTGGAGTTTGCCGGTTGTGGGGTACTGGGTGGGACAAATACTCCAACAAGTAAGCCCCCCATGCTACATAGTTACAGTTATATAAAGTAATATGGAAAGCAGAAAAATTAACTCATTCTTTTCATCAATTAGCTTTTGATAAATGGAATAAATATTTGATGTATAAAAGGTAGCCACTGCATAAAAATGTGACAGTTATGATACTTGACTTAATAACAAAATGAAGAATAAAAGAGAGGACTCATCAGGAATTGCAAGCCTAAATGTTGTAGTCCAAGGAAACAAAGTAATCCTTGTGTTCTTAAAGTAATCATTTAAATTAAGTTCTCTTTTCTGTCAGTTTGTAATACTCAATGAAAGAAACAAGAGTGGAGCTTGATTCTTCACCTACATGTACAATGATATTGAAAGTATTTTTATATTGCTAGACTGTAATGACTGTAACATTTTCACAATGCTTACCCAGCTAGGGTGCTGTTACTATGAGTTTAGACAGTTGTACTGGAGAATAGCTCCTGTGGGTGCAGAGGTCCTCCAATTCTCGTTTGGTTAATGGGAAAACATCAGAAATGTAGTGTCCCCAAATGTAAGTGTGTGGAAAGGAGTAAACCTCAGTGCTTATGGTAAATGGTATCCAGGCTTTGCATTTGGGTGATCAGATTACACTTAACATAGATGACATTAAATAGGTGTAGCCCATGGCATACAGTTTAAAGAACAATGGTTTAGAAAAAGCATAGCTCCATGGTATATTATCCAGTAAAAAGCTATCTTTTTCTTCTATTGTTCTAGTTAGATATTAAAATGGTAATTCCTATGTAAGCTCCTGAAGTAGTGGTGGCACATTTCATATGAACTTGATAATGGGTTCAGGACATCTATTTCCAGAATTTGACATTTATTATATGATAATTTAATGTATGCATTCATATATGAATGCGCATGCATACATATATATAGCTGGATGCGTGTAATTAAAGCATATAATTAAGGACTGTGAGGCTCCAATAAGCTTACGTTGATCTCATTAGTTGCTAAGCTTCCTACAAAACAGTCATCAGGCCCAACGAAAGCTTTGACAAAATCCTTCAGCTTTATTGATTTAGCATGCTCCAAATAGTTGTTCAAAATGTGACTAACGTCCCCAGTAATTTTGTAAATATTTTTATTTGAAAACCACTGTTAGTAAAATGAATCTCTTGCACAGAATTCCTGGAGTATATGGAGTATATGAAATGAACACATCAGTTGTGCAGATCCCACCATGGAAATGCTGAGGTAACATTTCTACAAAGACCTGTGCAACCATCTTTCCAAGTGCTCTCCAGGTGATGCATTCTGAAGTCACAGATTAGAGCCTCTGATCCAAAACTTAAAAATGGATTATCACACAGTATAACTAATCCCTCCTCTTTAACACCTGAGGCATTTGTTAGTTTACATTTTCTCTGGTTATGTAGCTCTGACTGAGCACTCTCTACAATAGGAATTATAGCTTCTTGGAAGGTTGAGACACCAAACACTAAAGTAAGGCTGTACTAAAGTAAGGCTGATGTGGGAGTTCCCTCTGTGTGCTGTGATTAACATTAATGAATAAAGAAACTGCCTTGGGCTCTTGATAGGGCAGAACTTAGGTAGGAGGAGGGACTGAACTGAATGCTGGGAAAAATAAGGGTGGAGTCAGAGAGATGCCAGAGTAAGACATGCTGAAACTTTAGCCAGTAAGCCATCGCCATGTGGTGATACACAAATTAATGGAAATAGGTTAAATTAAGATGTAAGAGTTAGCCAATAAGAAGTTAGAGCTAATGGGCCAAACAGTGATTTAATGAAAACAGTTTCTGTGTGGTTATTTTGGGGCTGATCAGTTGGGAGGCCGGGTCAAGCTAGCGGGCCCTCCTCCAACATAAGGCTACTGAAGTAAGGCTAGAGACAGTATCCATGCTCATACCAGTGAAGACAGTGCCAGAAAAGAACATGGTTATAGGAACTGTCAAATGGAGAGAAGATTATGAAGAAGAAATCCAGTAGTAGGAAGGGGGGATAATAATAACACACACACAGACACGCACACAAACCCAGACACAATTTTCACAGGTCCAACTTTTTGTAAGAAGGTTAGCCAAAATGATGCTCAGAAAATCAATGAAGAAGGCAGAGCTTTTCAACTTGTCCTATAAAAGACAAATACCTTCCTACAAATGACATTTGTTTTGTTCATCAGTTGGCAAACGTTTGAAAACATTGTATTATTGAAACTAAATTCTCCAATGAGGGAACCCAAGTCCTTATTTTGTGGTTCCTGATTAACTTATGGGTGAGTTTCCCACCACTTGCTGTGGTCTATACTGCATCCACACTGCTTTGGCATATTTTCTGTTTGTGAAAATTCCCTCCGATGGGCTAAGGTCTATCCTTACTCCGGACCACTGCAAAGGCATCCTTTCCTATACATAGTCTTCTGGACTCTCTAGGGAAGTCAATTGCAGACCGTTGATTTCCACTCCAGATCAGTTTTATATCCTAAATTCTGTGGTTTAGATATATGGCTCTATAAACATAGATACAGTAGCAAACATTTTGAAAAACCTTTTTAAGTTTACTTATTTTTATATTATGTTCATCAGTGTTTCACCATGGGTCTTGGGGTCCCCTGGAACTGGAGTCACAGACAGTTGTGAGCTGCCATGAAGGTACTAAAATTGAACCCAGATGACTGGAAGAATAGTCAGTGCTCTTCACCATTGAGTCATATTTCCAGCCTGAATTTTTTTTCAAAAATGCATGTTGGAATCTAGCAGAAGAGAAATACAAGTACCAATTTATTTTGTTTTCCTTCTTACTTATTTACTTTAGATATTGACTAATTTCCTTCAGCCATGGGTAGTCTCAGTATATAATTTCTATTTGGATTAGAGCTTGTATCTGAATCTGGTTTAAAAAAATATCATTTGTTAGAGCCATCACAACAGATCTAAAACCTTCATCCTAACAGAATTCAAGGGTTGATGTTTTATTTTTCATTGCACTTATTAAGAGGGAACTCTCTCCCCTCCCCCTCTCCCAACAGTTCAGGTTCCTATCTGTTTATCTTACAAAGGTGGAGGATCTCTCTTTGTTCTATCCGTTGTTTTATAATGGCACATTAGTGTTTCTTGTGTAGTAAATACTATGGAGTCCTTTTATTTGCTTCCTTGTTCAGCATTAACCCTGTGATTGCTGTCTATCTTGTTGTTGTAAGAATGATGTGGGGTTGGTGCAAAGCCATGGGTTGCACAGCAGAAGAGTCTGGCTATAAAATCAAGAAGAGTATCTACTTGATGCTGTTTAGGCAACATCTGTGCCATCACATGGAAAGTTATAGAGCTTAGAAAAAAGACTCCCCCACCACAGAGAACATTTCATGATGGCGTGAGCTACCACTGCCAAGTGTTTCACCCTTTCCAAACTACTTTAGGTTATTCTTACATCTTGAGGACCACACACAGAGGTTCTCCTCGTCTCTTCCTTTGTTGACTGCACTTGGGAGCTCTCATGATTTCCTGGAGAAGTTTTCTGTGACTGGAGAGAGATACACAGAAAAAAGAAAAAATACATATCATTAACAATAAGAGAAATAGCTTTTCACACAGACATGGATTTATGTGATTATATGATATAAAATACAATGTCATCTTCACATTCTAAAAAACGAGATAGACATTATTATACAATGCATCTTTAAAAGGTGCCTTAAAATTCTTTTCTTTGAAATTAAGAACAATAATTTGTTAAATTTTTACATTTGTGAGGCTTAAAGGAATTTTTCCATTGGATATGCACATTTCTCAAGTACTAAACTTTTACTTATTGATTTCCACTTCTCAAATGACAGGAATTTTGCCCTTCTTCTTTACACTAATCCCCAGCTTGTCCAAGATATAATAAACACATGCTGTTACATTTTTTCAACTAGACAGAAAATACCTTGCAACATTACAGAAGATACCTAGAAGGTTACATGGATTCTGTTCTTTCAAAGAGCAAACTGTTTACCTCAGGGAACTGAAATATCATTACAACATTCATATCATTAGGAACACTAAGAGAGAAGAATACCCTGGCTGAAAGACAGGTACGAGTAACGTGTAACTCATTATGGGAAGGTTCATGGTCGTTCACTAAGAAGTGTGGGCATGAGTTTCTTAGGCACAACTCACTTAAGTATAATGCTGTCCTCATAAATCTGGAGAAGTCATAAGTGCGATTTCCTGAGTTTAAAACTTTGGTTGCAATGGGCCACATAGGAGAAATATTTGAAGACTTCAACTTCTGGGTTGCAAGAAGCCCCAGAATAGAACAGAATCTGGACAGAGCACAAGAGACCCAGTCAGGATCTTCAGTTATTCTATGTGGTCCTCCCATAGATGTCTACAAATAACTGCACTCCTTCGTAAGGAAGCATTCTTACAAAAATAGTGTGCTAAAAATTATTGAAAAAAATTTATAAATATGGTAGAATGTTTATTGCAAGTGAGACTAATAAAGTTTATGAAATATTACCAAATTCATAGAAAAGAAAGCATTCTAGTTCATTTAACAGTTCCAATACTAATTTAACAAGGTGCTGAGCTTTGGCTAAAAACAATTTCCCTCGATACCTAAGCCTAACCTTATTAAAGTCTAGAAGGAGTTGAGAGTTTTATTTTCTTCTCCCATAACTTTGTTTAAAAGACATAAATATACAATCCCCTTTCGCACTTTCTAAGGAACAGAAAAGATAAAAGCTATCAGTAACACCCTTATGCTCATCTCAGTAGCATATATACTAAAATTGGAATAATACTGAGAAGATTAGCATGGCCCCTGAATAAGGATGACACACAAATTCATGAAGCATTTCATATTTATTAAAAAAAAATCTCTTTCACCATCATTGGCAATGAATTATAGGACGTGTTTGAAGATACCATGGAGATCAGATTTGTCTGCAAGGATAGGAAGAGTGAGGGATTGTTCATATTGAGTTTAAGGCAGAAGCTGATTCAAGGGAAAACCATGAAGAAAAGTAGGGGGCAAAAATTGATAGGAAATATGTTTCACTTTACTACACTGTAGAGAAAGGACAAAGGCTTCTACGACCATACCACCTTGAACGCGCCCGATCTCGGCTGATCTCAGAAGCCAAGCAGCGTCAGGCTTAGTTAGTACTTGGATGGGAGAAAGGACAAAAGTAAGAGAGAGCTGGAAAGAGTAGCACTTGGAGGCGTGAATCAGAAACTTTGGTTGATGTAACCTTTTCAACGAAACAACAAAAGAAACTCTTCAGGAAGTACTTGAGTAAGCAACTATTATCAACGCGCCCATAACTCAGAGCAAATTTAAATGGTACACATTCATAGAATCTGCTTCATTTGAAGATGCTAAAATATCTATAAACTTCTGGAAAAAATGGAAATCAAGGGCAGAAGAATCCGATTGGAGTTACTAGAAACCAGGGTATTGCCTATTGCAAGAAGTCAGCCATCCAAACCTCTGTCTGTCAAAGGTCTGTCAGAGGATGCCACTGAAGAGACTTTTAAAGAATCATTTAAGGGTTCTGTTCAAATAAGAATAGTCACTGATTGGGAAATTGGTTCATCCAAAGCGTTTGACTTTGTAGAATTCAATAGCGGGGAAGATGCAAAAGCTGTCAAGGAAGCTACAGAAGATGGAGACAAACATGGGACTGTGCCAAACTTAAGGGTGAAGGTGACTTTGGTTGTCTAAGCAGAAACAGAGGAGGTTTTGGAGGCTGGTAGAGGGGTCAAGGAGGAATAGTAAAGTTTGCTGGAAGAAGCCATAAGACTTTGGAAGTAGAGAAGGATTTATTCCCAGGTGGTAGAGGAGAAGGGAGAGACTTCATGTCGCCAGAAAAGAAAATGAAGTTTGAACAGTTTCTTCAACCCCGCTTGTTTCCTCTTTGTTTGAAAGAAAGGGCTCTGGGGTTTTCTCTGTTACCTGTTCTGTGACAGAGCCTTGTGAGGACGTTCCAGTACAGTGTGTAGCCATGTGATCTACTTGGAATCCATACAGATAACACTTCGAGAGAGACATCCTGTTTTTGACTAGTTATTCATAAAACTTTTAAAAGATAAGTGATAGAGCTATCCCTTACCTCTCCATTTTGAGTTTATATTGTTTCATCTCATGTATGAAAACATTTTTTCCTATAAATGGTTTTTCTTTTTTCTTTTCATTGGGGGCTGTAAAGAAATATTTTATTGTGTGCTTTTTTGATTCAGTGACTTTAGGGTAAATTAAAAATTTTATCCATTTGAAATAGAAAGGGTACCCTGCCCTCTCTTCGGACTGAAGGGGGAGGGGAAAGGGTGAGTTGGGAAATGGGAGGAGGAGAGGAAATGGAAATTTTGAATGGTTTTATTTATAAAGCAATAAAAATAAAATAAAATAAGAATGATACTTTTACACTCTCATCAATCCCTTTGATAAACTTTGAAGATAGCAGATGACAAATGGCCCCAATCTCTGCTTTGGGGTAAGTTCCTTAGGGGATGTGAAGAGTAAAACACGCTGTTTTTATCATTATGATATCTACACAATCAGTCATCTGATAACTTGATTCAAAACAAAACACATGTACCCGTGTATCACATGCACAACTGGTACCTGAAGAGTCTGAAAGGAACACTGAGTCCCCTGGATGGTTAGGAATCATCTTGTGGGTGCAAAGGATCAATCTCAATTACTCAAGCTCAGTTATACTCCTAACTTGGAGCCATCTATCCAGTCAAAGAAACACATCCTTGACAAGAGCCAAACACGTATTTGTTCCAGGAAAAATCAGTAGTGTACCCACCACCTTCTTCCCATCACCTCCAACTCACAAATGAAATGAAGACACAGCTTTGAAAGTAAGAGGCTATAACAGAGATTGATACTGAAAATGACTGTCACAATAAGGAAAAGAACTGAAAAACATAAAGAACGCATTAAATTCCACTATGTGCAATTTTCCGATGGGTTTCCAATATTACTTTTAGTTGAGCAAACAAATAACTGTATAACAATTTTATTTCAGTTTACAATAGTTATAACTGTAAAAGAAAGAATTATATGTTACTTGCCAATGTCTTTCAGTCTATGTCAATGCATAGAGGTCCCACATGTTTACATTTGTTGTTCCTAGGACATATATTGTATTCATAGGCCTTATCCATATATGCTTCAAAAATAAAATTTACAGGTTATAAATCTGTAAAGGGCTGGGGAGGGTGAGAGCACTTGTTGCTCTTTCAGAGGATCCAGGTTTGATTCGCAGCACCTGCATGGTGTCTTACAACCATTTATAATCCTGTGTGCAGGGTATTCAATAGTCATGCATGTGGTACACATAGATATATGCAACAAAAGCTTACATACAAGCAAAGTAACATAAAATCTAAAGATAAAAATTTAAAAACTCTGTAGAGCATATTTGGAAAATGTCTTCTGTGGTTGAGGGTTCATCAGATTTCATGGGAACCACAGTCTTCTCTTGTGGCTCTATTATACATTTATAATACATTCTATTATACATCAGAGTGAAGTCTTCAGAGGAAAGCATATTCATTATTGAGTCTTTGAAGATAGTAGGTATTTTGTGATCAACTAATTATTGTTTGTCATTTTCTTTCAGCTTTTTATGACTTATACTTAAAATAGAAGCATAATAAAGCTAAAGAAAAGTATAGAATCATGTGACTAGACATGCATAAGGCTGAAGAAATTCTTGCAAAATGAATCAGGGTAATTCAAAGGCAATTTAAATTATGTCTAGCAGCTCTGAGTGAAAATGTTTACATACACTCTATGTATCGCAATATAATTGCAATTAAAAGAGAGCACAGCTTAATTTAATTTAATTTTATTACTAGAAGCACCATTTGGTTCTTAAGAAATAGTCATTATTCTTTCTCCTTTTCTATTATACCAGTAATGATGTCCTTCCTTTCATTCTGTGGTATGTAATGGTTTGGAGTGTCACAGTCCCCTGAGTGATTCAAGACAGAGGCACACACCCAGGTCATTTCATAGTAGCTTTATGATGAAACAGTTGCAGTCAAATGAAGAATCACATAGCTATGTATAATCTGTGGCAGGCATTGTTCTACTTTCTCATAAGAAATCAACTTTTGTAGTCAAGGCGCCGTGTCTTCTAGAACACTGGCTTTTACCTTTTCAAAGCTTGTTTCTGCAGCTGTATCAACACATTTTTAATATGGCTTATGTTACTATTTCTGACATATAAAACTGAAACTTTAATTTTAATGTATTTAATTATATCCCTAATATATGATAATATGAGTGATTATATTTTTATGTAGGTATTTTATATTTTAAGAATTATTCTGAGATTTGGAGCTGAGTTGACAAATAAAAAATGAACTAAATGATAGTTTTGATTTATTATCTATCCCCCTGTCATCTTTCTAGCCTCTATCATTTATCATATGTCATCTGCTATAAACTGTATCTACCTACCATCTAGATTATATCTATCATAAATCTGTTAACCATAGATCTATAGTATACCATCTACCTCCTATATATCTATCTAAAATAGCTAGATTTATCTGTCATGTATCTATTATCTGTCAATCATTTATAATTTATCTATCTGTCTATCTGTCTATCTATCTATCTATCTATCTATCTATCTATCTATCTATCTATCTATCTATCTTTCTACCTGTCTGTTGTCCATTATTTATATATTTATCATCTATCTATTTATCTATCTATCTATCTATCTATCTATCTATCTATCTATCTATCTATCACCTATCTGTCTATCTGTCTGTCTGTCTGTCTGTCTATCCAACCATCTTGTATCTGTTCTGTCCTGTACAGAGTTATATGTTTCAATACTTAGTCTCTAGCTAATGTTTTAGAAAGTTGTAGAACATTTCTGGGCAAAGGCATGTCAGGCAAAGATAGACAGTTTGACCAGACCTTGAGTTTGTATTTATAACTAGCTCCTGCTTCTGGTTTAAGGATTTTTTTTGATCTACCAGGAATTGAAGCTGCCCCCAACTATACCCTCTTGCCTTGAACTTGGCATGCTTTATGGCAATGGGAGTCAGCATGAATTATTGTTGCAATGAGTTCCTTCTATCATTAATGAAAAATAAACTAATATGGAAATTACAATACAAAATAAAAAAAGTACAAAAATAAGAATGCTGTCAGAATAAACAAAACCATGTGGGCCATAGAGCTTGAGAATTGGTTTTCCAAAAGAATATGGAAGAATTTGGAGTTACAGGCTAGAGAAGCTCCAGAATGAAGTAGTTAGTGGGCTCGTGAGCATGACAGAGACAGACAGCTGATAAAATTTAGGTATAAAGACTTTGCTAATGAGTCTTCAGAGGCAAAGAAAAAGACTATTTATGCCCTGGGTTGATAAATTCCGACTATAAGACTCTTAATATAATCTGCCAAATAGTGTCTTAAAAATTAGTGCTGCTGAATTTAAAATCAGTGAACTACTTACTTTGCAGATAATATTTAAAACTATTATAGCACATTTAGCCAGACCTACAGTAAAAATCAAAATAGCCTTGATATGGGATGAGGGGGTGGGTCAAGGGCTTGGTCTTGCCTCGAGTTGATATTCCAGACCTTGTTGACTTCCCAAGGAAGTCTTTACCCACTCTGAAGCGTGGATAGAAGGTGGGAAGAAGGGGGAGGGAGGGGAAACTGGGGTTGGTATGCAAAATGAAAAGTAATTTTTTAAATAAAAATAAGAACATGAAAAAAGAATTGATAAGACAGGCAGAAATGATCTTTTTTCTATTTTTTTTATTTTCAATACATCCTGACTGTAGATTTTAACTCCTTCCACTCTTTCATGCTCCCCCCTCAACTCT